GAGAGAGAGAGAGAGAGAGAGAGAGAGAGAGAGAGAGAGAGAGAGAGAGAGAGAGAGAGAGAGAGAGAACCATCTTTGGAAAAAAAAAAATATATTTTTTTGTTTTTCCAGGGCGGGTGGAAGTGATGAATCATTCCAGTTCCTGTGGGAGTATGGAGTCAGAAGGGCGATGCTGTGACGAGGCAGAAGGGCGATGCTGTGACGTCTATCTGGACGCTGAAGTTTGTTGTTGTTGCACATTGTGTCCTCTGCGAGAGTAAAGCCTCACACATTGTGCTATTTTGTATATGAAGTGTGCATGTTTTGTTTTGGTTTTTATGCCATTTGGGCAGTGTGGATGTGTAGGAAGAGTGTGGTTGGGTACACCGTGTAGCGGGATCTCCGTGCTGGGGTGGGGTGAAGTGCTCATCTTGGGGCTTTACTTTCACCCCAGCCCAGTTAGCCTTATGGTTAGGCGTTTGCCTGCCAAGCTTAGAGTTGTGTGTTTCGAGTCCTGTACTTGACATACCCCTGCAAGTACACGATCAATTCCCAAGAACGAAGACCATAAAAAGTTTAATGACAGATACTCGAGAAAAAAATGCCGGCCCAAAAAAAGAAAAAGAAAAAGAAAAGAAAAGAATGCCGTATCAGGACATTACAAAAAATGACAAAAATAACGAAATGCAAGGAGGACAGAGCCCTCACATCGGCTGCGTCGCGGCATGTTAGCTGTCACGGTTGCCTGCACAGAACAGATGCCAGCACACTCACTAGCTCCATCCCACCAGCCTGGGTTTCCATCATCGCAGGGGACACCAGCACCTTCAAAGCACTCTGGTGGTTCGGAAACCTTGGGAAAGCATCATCCTTCTTTCGAATTGAGAAAGTCGACGACGACAGTACGGTTGAGGCTTCTGAATGGTTGCTGAAGGATTCGAGACAAGGTGGGGTACACTCTGCACTCACAGCGCCACTCGATGCAAGCCCCCTTGTCTATGTTTTTTTCCCGAAAAAGCCCAGGGTGTTGTAGAGGCCAAGAACCAGACCCGCGGTGATTGCTGGTAGCGACAGCCAATGGTGGTCCTGACAAGATAGGCCACCTGCTGTACCCTACCCTACCCTACCCCTCTCCCACGTTAACACTCCCACCGCACCACCCCCTGATCAGCACACCTCCTTCTCTCAGAGTTGGCTGCGCACCTCCAAATCCCTGGGTCTGCATCCAGTCTCACTCAAGTGGGTTTCTTTCGTCTTACACCTCATTATATTACACACAACCGAAACTAAGGGCCAGATCCCACTGGCAAAGAGGATTGGAAGAAGTGTCTGAATGTGGACGTGTTCCACACAGAGATGCAGAAAAGTAGTAGATCAATCACAATGTTTCGCACCTGTCCACAAACACGTCCACATTCAAACTGACATTTCGTTAGAACTGACATTTTTTTCTAAATTCACGAAAGTGGACTTAGTCAAAATTTCATTGCTTATCGGGTGAGAAAGTGGTTATCTCACTTTGTCCATTTGATGTACCTCAATGTAAAGTACCGTTAACATACATCCGATGGTCAGATCATCGGGAGTCGCCATGACACCCGATGATCTGATCATCGGACGTCATGAGAACAAAAAACCACAAAACAATGTTGTTTTTTTGTACGCTCATTTTCGTGAATTTAGAAAAAAATGTCAGTTTTAACGAAATGTCAGTTTTCAGACACTTGCTACAATCCTCTTTGCCAGTGGGATCTCACCCTAAGGTAGTAGGGGGTCTCCCATGGCTACATCTCCATACATGTGTTCCCACTGCGATGTGGTGCTTCTGAGAAAGGTACGGAACTGTCATCGTTCTGCGAGGCCTTCCCCCCACCCCTCACTCGAGGACTGGCTTCACCTCTCACCTCTCGTGGGAATGAGTCATTGCGCGGGGCTTCTGCGACAGGGTAGAATCATCGTGGCATAAAGCCTACGGAGTGACCGGACACGGGGACAAAACTGCAGTCATCACCGGCAGATTGACTCGGAGCTTAATAAGTGCAGTGGGCCTCTATCTGCGCTGGCCTACAGCCAGGGCTATTTGGCTATTTGCCTATCCGCCCTGAGTTACCCCACAGGCCGTGTGAGTGTGCCGTCCAGTCCTGTCCGTACCACTCTCAGCACCAGTCCAGTCAGTCCGCTAGGGGTATACCCCTGCTGCAGTCTGTATTTTGATTCATTCTTCAGTTGCACAGTTTGAAGTTCGTGTGTGTTGACGGAGACCATCTCCATCTCCATCTCCTCCTTCGTCATCCCTTCTTCCTGAGACTGACGGAGTCACAATAAGAGATCCTCAGAGAAGATAGCTCACATTTTTCGGGCAAGGGATTTTTGGTGCCTTTGGATAGGTAGAGGGGGGAGGAGATTCTTGAAGGAAGACTCGACGCCTGCTAGAGTGTTTTTGCAGTTTAGACACAAATAGCAGTTTAGAAACGCAATCAGGATAGATACAGCAGTAGACTAGACTGATACAAGAAGAAAACTTAGTGAAAGAGAAACAACTAGCAATGTTTTTTTCAGCAAATGGACAAGCAACTTCAGATGGACTGGTTGCCACATTCGCGCGCGCGTACCTTCTTCCCCCGAATACAACGTACGGTCATTATAGCTGTATTTGAGGTATATTTCCGTCTAGATACAGCTATAATGACCGTACGTTGTATTCGAGGGAAGAAGGTAGCTCCTGAGGACCTGGTACGAGTATAACGAGGCTTGTAAGCGAAATTGAAGTTTTACGTGTAGAAGCAAATTCTCCAAATTTATGACCAACGAGGCAGAAGGGCGATGCTGGGTTGTTCACGGACATCCCAGTTCTCTTTCAGTTGGCACATTATGTCCTCCACGATAGTAAAGCCTCACATTTTGGGTCTCGTTAGACACTCCTAAAAGAATCCTAAAATTTTAAGGACGAGTCCTAAAGGTTTTTTAGGATTTCGTGCGGCGTCGTTACACGCAGTCCTAAAAATCATCTTTTAGGATTCGTCCTAAAAGGTCTCTCGCGGCCCGTTCTCATATTCGTATACGCAGCCGCGTCGCCGATGTCCGCCGGGTCCTGGCTGGTGTCCGTGGTACACACTGCAGAGGCCTTGGGCAGGTGAGCAGCGGTGGGTGAAAAGCGCGGTCACCCCGAACTTCAAAAATTCAAATTCGAATTCTCGCGGACGCAAGGCTGCAGGGGCGGAGGACGGCCAGGCGAAGCGTGTGACGTACAAAAGACGGCGCTGGCGAACCATTCGGTGCGGGTATCCATCTTCCGACTCCACGCAAGTTGTGACCGGCGGGGGCAACTTCCGACAAGGCGCATCTTCACCTCCGCCGTGTGTGCTGTCCTGTGCAAGCGTAGAGCAGCGGGCGCGTTGTCGACTCCGGCGTACGCCATTTCCTGTTGCAGCGTACGGCAGCGGGCGCATCTACGGGTCCGGCGTGCGTGGTCTCTCTTCGCTTGGTTCAACAGCGGGCGTGTCTTCGGCGGCTGTGGCAGGCGTCACGCTGTGGGGGCATAACGATTCCCAGAGATGGACGTCCGTGGCAGCGGGCACGGTCTGCGCGAAGAGGAGATCGACGCGGTGGCGATGGCGGTTACTGCCGTCGTCGTGAACACAATGGGCGGCATGTCGTCGTCCTCAAGCGACATGCTGACGCAGCTCCGAAAACGAAGAGCGCGGTTGCAGCGCATTGCCGAAGCGCCGGATTGCGTGGCCACGTGTGAGGCAATTGTCCAGTTGTGTGCCGCGCTGTCATCTGGCGTTTTCCCGCGGCAGACCCCACGTTGGTGGATTAAACGACGGACTGGCGGAACATGGGAGGATCTCCGCCTCTGTGATAACGCGACGGACGAGTACTACCGGCAGAAGTTGCGCATGTCGATGGCCATGTTCAGGCAGATCGTAGCCGCGTGCGCCGCGTACGTGGAGAAGAAGGTGACGCACTATAGGATGCCATTGCCAGTGGAGCAGGTGATCGCTTTCACGTTGTACAGGTGGGCGTCAGGAGAGACGTATGAGAGCGACACGTCAGCCTTCGGCATCGGCAGGGCAACTAGACTGCAGGCCGTCTGCGACGTCACTTCGGCGCTGCTGCAGGCGTACCCCGACACGATCAAGTGGCCAGTTGGGCGTAGACGTGCACAGAATCTGTGCGCATTCCGTGACAAGGGTTTCCTGAACTGCTTCCGAGTCGGCGCGATCGACTGTACACACATCTACATTGACAAGCCCGCCGGTGCACCTTCGGACAACTACTACGACCGCAAACAGAAGTTCTCCGTGCAGGCGCAGGTGGTGGTGGATTTGGATGTGCGGATCCTCGACGTCCACATCGGATACCCGGGAAGTGTGCACGATGTCCGTGTCCTGTACAATTCCCTACTGTGGAGGCGTGCAGAAGCTGGCGAGCTGTTCGACGCACCTCCGGAGAATCTGCCGCACGGTGTCGTCACGCGAGGTTACCTGCTGGGTGACAACGGTTATCCAGTTGCCTGTCCATGGATCGTGCAGCCGTACGGAGGAATCGACCAAGATCCTGACGAGGAGCGCTTCGACACGCGGCAGAAAGTGGCGCATGGGTGTGTGGAGAGGGCATTTGGGCGACTGAAGTGCATGTGGCTTCTGTTCTTGCGCACCCACAAGACGAACCTAGAGACCTTGCCACAACAATTTGTGGTCGTCTGCACTCTCCACAACATCCTCCTCGACGCGGGGATCGACTTCGATGAGAACCTTTTGTGGGAGGTGGATGAGAACGGCATTCGGCGTAGAGTAGACTTGGCCATTGTGGGGAACGACGCAGGCGGGCAGCGACGGAGCACGAACGTGGACGGGGAGTTGTTGTGGGATGCACTTCGAGACCGCCTAGCTCTGATGTAGGACCGTGCAGACGGGAGGTGGAGGGGAAGGAGGGGGGAGGAGGGGGGTTGGGGGGGGTTTGGGTAGGGGGCGATAGCACGTGGGTTGGTGCGATCGGCAGGCGGGTGGAATTGACACGTGACCCGCGTCCATTGGCGTCGTGCGCAAAGTCGCAGGGTTGATTGTATGGCGGCATGGTTGTCGTCTGTGACTTCCTTTCTTTTTTTCGTCGTGTGGACGGTTGCGTGGTTTGTACAGTTGTACGAACGTTTGATATCGGAAGAACCTTTTTTTTGTGTGTCTCTCTCGGTTGTTGTTTTTTTAATTTATTTATTTATTTATTTTTTGTATTTTTTTTTTTTAATGTTTGTCTTTACATCGCATGTCTAGAATGGTTCGGTGTGGTGGGAACTTTTTTTCTTTTTTTTTTATCTGTGTCCTCAATTCCTTGCTCGTTTGTTTTTGTGTGTCTCTTCAAATCGTTTGTCGCGAATGTTTTCATTTGCTTCTCTGGCGTAACGTCAAAGATGGGTTTTCAAATTGTTGATGCAAGCTGCTTAACGTTAGTTAACTACGACACAAAAAAAACAGAGATACATGAACCTAGATTGCGTGCATGCATAGAAGGCAATCATCTGCAATCATCTTTAAATCATTCCACAGAAGACACGAGAACAGCAGACACATCACATAAAAAAAAGAGTGCGCTTTAAGCGCTATAAACTTGTCGCGCAACGAACTGCGAATATAAAAACACAATACCTGACGACATTGAATGATCTCGTCGTCGACTCCAACGACCGACACTCTGAACACGTGCACTAAACGCAACACACACCATTGAACACAATCAACCCGTCTTCGTGGCAGAGCCGACGCGCTAAACAATTGCACAAGTGAGGACGATTCCGCGGAATCCCTATCGCCGACACACTAAACAAGTGCGCACTTTGCAATGGTGCAACCCCAGTGAAGCCCACGATGACCAGCCACTTGCACATGCGCCCGCCACCCCCCCCCAACCCCCCCCCACTACCCCCCTACGCGTCATCTTTCCCGTCGTTGTTGTTGTCATCACTGGGGGTGCCGAACCCAACCAATCCAGCTTCTTCGCATCCTCCGGCCCCGTGATGCTCGCGTCGTGCCTGAAACCAATGCTGCAGGGTGCCCAATGAGGGATGTAGTCGGGGTGCTGTCCGAACGTAGCTTTTGCCTTCCCGAGCCTCTCTGTGACGACTTTCGAGGCGCGGACGACGGATCGTCGAAGATCGAAGGAGCGATGCATGGCCGCGACGAGTGTGGGTTTCGCCACGAGGTCCGCGAAGTAGTAAGCCTCATAGTGGCTGCGCGGATCGTCTCCTGCCATGTGCATTATCCACATGCACGCCGCCAACAACAACCTGAAGCAGTCAGCCACCCGACAAAGATGCTCGTGCGAGATGAAGTCGCCGTCGATGAGCGCCCCCATTTGCACCGCCGCGCGGAATGCATACGCGACACAGATGACGGTGGACTCTTGGTGCGCCGCCATGTCGTCGTCGTCCGGTCTGTCCTCGATGTTGGCGCCGACGAACCACAGTGGCAAGTCCATGGACAGATCTATCGTGTGCGCGCAAACCATGCCTGCGTGGATCTCGTTGTACAGCGCCCTCTCCATCAGGAACTTGAACTTGTGCTCCTTCCTTTCTTCATTCGAAAGCCGGAAGAAATCTGGCCGGCCACTCGCATTCTGAAACCTCTGTACCTTCTTGTAGTTTTGGAAGATGTTGTCCCACTTCTTCATGCAGTCCTCCGCGTCTTTAGGCCTCCCCGCRTTCGCCATGYGCTTGGCAATGTCSTCCCACTTCCACTCCTTGGTCCGCATCCGCCCGTAATTGTGACCGAGACCGGCGAGGTGCATCTCTTGCTCCCGCTTGCATSTCACMRGTTGCRTTTGCTCTTCCGGGGACCAGTACGTCGCAGACTTCCYGCCGTCGTCGCTGACGCCACCTCTGCCCCCACGGCCAACGGATCGACCACGAACAACACCCCTGCTGCGTCCTCTCCCCCTCCCACCCGTCTTCCCCAAAGGCCGAATAGGAATGTCGTCGCCGTCGTCCCCTGCCTCCACGTCCTCCCCGAATCGTTCGTCGACATCGTCACCGCCACCACCATCGTCGTCGCCGCCATCGCTGTGTGCCCGCATGTTTGACACTCCTCGTGTGATATTCTCCACACTAGGTGCTGGGCGCACCGCTGGTCTGCACGTGCCGTCGTCCCTGAGGTCGGGTGGGGCCGGCGTTGTGGTTTTGGGCGTCGAATGAAGTGTACCGCCGATGCACAGGGACCCGACTGCGACTCCATGGCGTGTGGGGCAGGTGCTTATCAATCGATCGGTGGAGGCTGCACTCGATCCATGCTGCCGGCCTGATGCCGATGGCCCGACACCGCCAGTAACGGATGCACCGCCACGAAGTGTGGACTGCTCTGTATGGCGACTTCCAGATAGTTGAACGCCACGTGGTGAAGGATCGACGTCGATGATGAACGTGCGGCTCGGCTCCCTACCGCCGCCAGAACACAACCCGATCCGGAGATCAACTCCCTCGTCGTCGTCGTCTCCCAAGCCCTGCTGCAGAAGTGTCGTGTGCTCGTCGTGTCCGTTGCTTGCCGCCCCACCTGCGAGCACCGTCTGCGACAACAACTGCGTCGACCCGCTGCCGAGAGGAAACGTTGGAAGTTCATCCCCCTCCGGCTCCTCGTCCGAGGGAGGCAGCGGCGTCTCCCACGACGGCAGATGGCTGTACATGGATGGGTCGTACCACCGTGAAGGCTCCGTCGTCGCAGGTTTTCTTCCGACCTCAGCTGTAGGCAGAACAGCGCGTGCCTGCATGCCCGCCATGGGATGTCCCTCTTGAAGCGCTTGCGACGTTGCTTCCACGGCCGACACGACAAGCACACGTGGAGAAAGACGACAAAGACGAAGACGACCACAACGAGAAGCAGCAGAGGCAATCTCCTCTGCATGTCTGCCATGAATTTGACGTGGACAGGCGACCTTGCACGTGACGTCCTGCTCAACTTTCTCCTCACAACCCCGCGGACAAGGCCGCTGGACCTTCATATGTCGTCGACCGGCAGCGAAGACGACAAACGTTCGCGCCTGCGATTCAAAAACCGACCGTTGCCGCCCACGCCGCCTCTGTGTGTCGTCGTGCGTACGATTGGGGACTCCTTCGTTGCCCGCATTCGAGCCAACGGTCCGCAACGGCTGCCCGCCAGGCCACGCTTCGCCCCGCACGCTCCACCCCACCGGCCAACGGCTACCGCTGGGGGCCGTTGCCGTCGTCGACCTGCAGAAAACCTCCGATGTCCGCCCACCGACCCGACGGACCTCTCCTGGACCAGCGCCTCCGTGTTGACGGTGCCATTCTCGCGACGCGGCGACGCGGCGACTCCGTGAAACGCGGGAATCCTAAATTTTTCATTAGGTCCGGGGCTACTGGAAAATTTAGGACGATTTGGCTGGGGAATCCTAAATCTTTTTTTTTTTTTTTTTTTTTTTTGAAGAATTTCTTTTTTTTTTAGGACGATTCCTAACGCCGTTTTCACATTTTCGATTTCCGCATACGATTTAGGATTGCGTGCAACCAAGACGCAATCCTAAAAACAGGAACTTTTAGGAGTGTCTAACGAGACCCTTTGTGCTAAACTTCTGAATCAGCATATCTTTTTTTTTTTTTTTTTTTTTTTTTTTTTTTTTTTTTTTTTCCAGTAATCTGTAAACCAACAAAATATTTTCCGTTATAAACTTGTGCATAATAACCGACAAATTTAGGCAAAATAAAAGATCTACGTGACCAAATTTTCCAACTCAGGCGAGCCACACGCGAATGCTTTTTCAACAGAGCCGAGCCTCAACTGGGGCTGAATGGGGGATCTCATTCAGCGTCTGTGCCCGCGTCCGTTGTCTGGTCAGGTTGCACCAGTAGAGATTGATGTTCCTCGCAAAGAGGTAAGATAGAAAAGGAGTAGGGGTGCACCAGGAGATATATCGAGAGGGGTGGTAAGATGGGAGTCTCGTGAGTATGCGAAAAAAAAGAAAAAAGAAAAAAAAATTGAATACACCCAGCTGAAGATGGGTAAATCTGGCAGCCACAACAGGCGGAGAGGGCCCAGCGTAATCTTTCTATCCTCCCCCATTTTCAAGTCAAACTGTCAAAGCGAATTTTGATTTTTTTTGGCAGCCGGAAACGACCTCCGGCATCTTTTTCAGCATTTCCGGGTAGACTGTGACGACCCCGGCCTCTCACTATGTTTACGGGACGCTGGTGTGGGTGAGTGGGCCTCGCCGCACGGCACAACTAACGAAACGAAACGATCACCAGACGGCACAACTAACGACAGTCTGTAGAGTTTTCCATCTGGTGTGGGTGAGTGGGCCTCGCCGCACGGCACAACTAACGAAACGAAACGATCACCAGAGTCGCGAGGCCTCACGAAGCCGTGATGCACCGTTTCGTTTCGTTTTTTGCCTCACCGCCCCACAGCACACACGAAAACTCTAACGACAACGCCCTGGCGACAGTAGTGCGGGATCCGTTTCGCTACGGTCCGAATTTGTGGACACTACGGTCCAAGTTCTTGGATGGACTTCGGTTGGAGCAATGCAGCACACTTGTGAGATTTTGCAGCTCCTCCAGCCTACCAGCGGAGGACCTACGAGTTCGCGAGGGCTGCAGGCAGGGAGGAGTCCGCACACTCGTGAGGCCTCGCGAACTTCGAGGCTGACAGCATTCACGAGTTTTTTCTGACACAGTTCGTGTGGGTGCTATGCGGCGACGACTTCACGAAACGAAGTCGTTTTTTTTTTCCGTTTCTTGCACCATGCGGCGAGGCCCATAGTCTACTTTGATTTTGGTTAAGGTAGATTATCATTTACAGTGTAATCAGTGAGGGGATTCTGCAGACAGTTGAGGGTTCAGCCTCCTGATGAGTCGGTGAAACTCCGACGAAACAGTTTGTCAC